TTTGGCCTGGCCTGCACCCTCTCGCAATCCGGGACCTCTCGGGGGATGTCAGAGAGCTGGTTTTGGCCCAATCCCCACAGGCCAGGCCGAGGGACCCCACCGGTGCACAAATCAGTGCACCGGGCCTGTAGTAAACAATAGAAAAAACTAAAGAGGTTAAGGGGACCAGGGAATGCTGGGATGCAGAACATAAATGAGGTTTGTTATTTTATAAAAGAGTAGATAGGAAAGGCCTCTGTTAAAGTGACATTTGTGCAGGCTAAAGAGTATATTAGAGAAAGGAACCACAAGTGTGAAGACCCTGCCTAGCAAGATAGGCAATGTATCCAATCCCTACCAGTATTTATCAACTGGGGATGATTATCACCCTAAAAAAAAAAACATTTGGAAATAAAAAAAGGTAGCTATTCTGAGTTTTCACAATGATGTAGGGTAGGGGTGAAGAGTAAAGAAAAGTTCAAACAACCAAGAATTAAAATAATTGCTTTGCCCAAAATACCTACTAAAATTTTTGCTGGGGCTATCAATTACAAAACTTCTGTTATTATTTTCAAATTGCCCTCATTATATTACCAAATGTCAATCAACAAAAGATGGCATAAGTAACATGATCTAGTCATGCAACAGAATTATACCCGATATAAATTTAGTTCACCCTAATTCAGCCCCACTATTTTCTACATTTTGCTAGTTCATCATGTTTCATACATGATGACACAGACTAGGTCTTAGATTAATTCAGGTGATACTTATTACCTTACTGACTCCTCTACTTCATACCGCATGTGAACACCTTGGAGGAGAACTGACACACCTTGACTATCAAATCAACCAGAACATTATTCTCCCAGTCCAATGTGGGAACAGTTCCCAGGCCCCACTTTCTATGGCTGACAACGATCTCACGTTTTAAGACCAGCCATACCTCCTCCACGAAGCTCTCCCCTACTTTCCCAGTTGCCCACTTCGCAGTTCTCCCATTAGCACGGTGCCCCTCTCTCAGGAGCACGCCTACTAGACATGGCATAAGATGCTCCTTTACCTGTCAGCCTCCAAACTAAACCATAAGCTCGTCCGGGGCAACAGCTAGACCTCCTCCATCCGTCTGTGTATCCCAGCACCTAGTACAGTGTCAGGTGCCTCGTTCAATGGTTGTAGAATTAAGTCAGATTTGCTCGTGTGTTTAGGTTTCTACCGAAGACCCCCGCCTGCAGGAGTTAGGCTGAGGCAAGAAACAGGGCCGCAGGCGGGTCGATGGAGACATCCCCACTCGAGGACTTTTTCCAAGTGTGCCTATGCTGACAAGTGCCAACAGATGGCTTTCGATGCCATCCTGGTCAGAGGCCGGGGGACGGACAAGCCTCCTGGTGGTCCCTTCCATCCCTAGAACTCCCTTAGTCGGTGAGGTGTCACTTTGGGGGACCCAGGTATCCTAGGCGGGGCTCTCACCTTCCCGTTCGTGGGAGGCTCCTGAATGTAGATATTGCTCATGCTGGTCAGTGCCCAGGACTCGGCTCCTAATTGAAGAGGAGCGCGGGCGGCCGGTAGCTCAAGTTACCCACTTATCACACTTCCTTTCGTCGTTCGGTCGCGGAAAGCTCCAGTCCGTCAATATCCCCAGAGAAAACGACACCCAACACTATCTTTGCCTATAGCTAGCCTCTCACAGACGCCGCCATGTTGCTCCGGGATTCGAGCACCGCTAATCCCGAGAAGGGGGATCCCAATGTCCTCCAGGGAACGAGAAAAAGCATTAAGCTCCTACATAAATAACTTTAATTTCTATGACAACTTTTCAAATAACGATTCCTAAGTCTTGGTGGTGTTTCCTTCTCTGCATGCGTCTGCAGGCATCCCTGCTCCCCCCAAACTGGCAGGAATGGTTCGGCCCGCGTGCTCGGCAATAGGGCTCCCCCGGAAACCGCAGCGGCGGCTGCTGGGTTCCTCTCTCCTGGCGCCTCGGAGGGCCTCCCCGACTGCCGCCGAGGT